GCTAGGCAGAGTAAGAAAAATAATCTTAGAAGGGCTTGGTTTGTTCAGCACCCAAGAATGGGAACAGAGCTGAGCATCTGCCCTGCATGGGGCCCTTTGGGGCCATAGCAGACCCTCCACATGTCATTCAGGCCTCACCCTGTGCCCTCAGGGGTTCTGAGCCCATTTTCTGCTGAAGACAATGAGGAACAGAGAGAATGCATTAAGGTCACTCAAGCAGGAAGGGCTGTTACAACTCTGACTCCCCCAAAGCCCTCTGAAGAGCTCTGCTTGTCTGCTGGAGGCATGCCAGACTCAGTGGCTTTCTCTGCCTCTTCCTTGTGATGAAGCTGGGTCTGCCTCTGCTGCAGTGGGAAGCTGGGGAGCACTGTGGCCAGAGCTCTTGGACAGAGATGGTGCTGCCCCCTGCAAGATGTGTGGTCTTGGACAAACTGCTCAGACTTTCCAACGCTCCATCTCATCACCTGTCAAAGGCAGATAATAAATCCTTCCTCTTGCAGGCAGTGAAAGGATTAAGCTGGATTAGAGATGTGAAAGTTCTTTGTAACTGGTAATGCCCTCCACAAATATTAGTTAATATGCTGTTACGTTTTCCCTTAATAACCCAGAGCTTGGGATATAACCCTCCTCCCTATATTAAGACATCTCCTAGGAGCTCAGTTATTTTATGTTTTTCTTATTCTCATGGGTTGTAGTGAGTTTGGCACAGAAATGTCTTTAAAGCAGTTTTAAATAACTCACACACACCAACCCACCATCGTTCTCATGGGTGTTTTGAGACTCCCCAGCAATACTGAGGACAGTGAACAGCAGTGTGTGAAAGCTGACTTCATCCCACCTGCTCACAACACCCCAGGAGGCTACTGCTGTCATCACCCCCATCTCTCAGATGAGGGAACAAAGGCAAAGATGGGTACTAGCTTGCATCAGCCCACAAAGCCAGTAAGTCAGAGAGCCAGCTGAAGACTGGCACAGGTAGTGTGGCACCAGAACTGATGCTTCGAAGCACAACGACACAGCTAGGCGTCCTTCTCTGAGGCCAGTTCTGCCTGCCCGCGAGGTTGTGACATTCCCCCGGGTAAACTGCTCCCTCCCCACCAGTGCATGCTGCATTTCTGGACTCTGCCCTAGTGTTCAGAAGATAACTCAAAGAGGCAAACACCCCACAGAAAATTCCAATTTCATGACAACATTCAATAAACAGAAACTCTCCAAGCCGAGAGTGTACTCTTCTGGGGTGCCACAGTTAGATTTTATGGCATTCAGGATTCAAAACAAATTTACAGATGAGCAAACGAGGTGGAGGCCCACTGTCAGAAGACCTTTTATTCCTCAGTGACCCTGTCCTGCCTGGTGCCTCTGCCACTGCCGGGTAATCCTCCATTTCTTGGGCTTTGGCTCTTGGCCACCCTGTAAACGTGAGTGTCTCTCCTTGCTGCTCCCCTTTCTCTGCTTTGCCCACCAGTGATTGCAGACATTTCTGCTCCCTCCCTTTGTAAAGTCTGACTGCCAGAAATCACCCCGAAATAACTCAGTCCCCACCTGACATCATTTTCTGTCACTTTTCTTCTGTTACTGCCCACTGAGGATGCCACTCCCACTCGGCCTGCACAGTACCCCTATTTCTGGGCTCACTGTACCTCAAGTCTCTTGAAACCACCAAACTCACTCATTTCTCATCAACCTGGGAAGTTTCCCACTTTGGCCTCACATCCCTGCCCATCAGCTCATGAACTCACAACACAATTTTGTTTGTGCCTGGCCCCGAACTGGGGCTCAGACTAAATGAGTGTCATGCTAGATTCTATCTCTGCCTTCGTGGACATTGTATTTGAGAAGGATTAGGAGACAATAAATGAGTCCATCATAACACAATGTCTGTAAAACCCAGACACACCGGCAAAGGCACATACTGCCACTACAGACCTCCATAACCTGGAAAGCAAAATATTTCCTCATCAAGATGCTCATCACAAAGGCCCCACAGAGACCTGGCTGGTATCTTAAGGACTTCCTGCTCCAGGCCCCCTCTCTCCCAAGGGCTTTTTCAGAAGTGCCTGGGAGCAGGCCCGAGTTCTCATCTTGACAACATCTGCTATTTTCCTCTGGAGTCTCCCAATCTCAGCAGCTCACCTTGATTTTCACAGTCAGCGCATCCGATATAAGAATCATGCTTCGCGTTCTAGCATTCTCTACTTGTCACCTGATGATTGTATTAATATCTACCCCCAGTTCAATTCAGATAAAGATTAAGTGAGATAATGGAAGTTAAAAGACCTCATAAACTGAGAAGCACTCTATAATTGGCAGCTATTATTGTTATGACTATTGTTAAAATAATTGTAATAATTATTATTCCCACAGACGTTTTGTTATCAGCGCAAGGTCATGTGGGGAGGAAGCACAGATTTCCCCACTCCCACCAAGCTCGTGGAGCCGCTCACAGCATTTCAGGAGCGCATACCTGGGATCCAAAACCCTCCCATATCGAGGTTCTCTTGTGCTGTATTCAAGCTTCTAGGACCCCTGCCAATGCACGCTGCCTGGACTGCACCCCACGGATACTGCGCTCCTCCACAGCTATACCAGCCTGAGCTCCAATTGCCAAGGTTTTCAAAAACCACAGTTTGCATTTATTTTGTTTAATTCTTACATTATGTTCCAGCCTCCTCCTAAATGCATTTGTTTGCAGAAAGAGCCACGAGGGGAAGTTCAGCCCACAAATAAGAATATAATTATTACACAGTTTAGCAGTGCCTGGGCGTCACCCGGGTATTCACTGGTGCTCTGCAATTCAATTGTCTCTCCTTCAAGACCATATTTAATAGGATAAACAATTTCTGCTAAATGCAATAAACGCGAACCTGGGCTGTCATCTCCATAATCAACTCAAATTTCCCATTAGAAGCGGTGGCTGTGATTGAGATTCAGAATTTAATTTGGCGGTGCGTGCCTCAACGTGCTAGTGTCGGCTTCGTGGGAGCCTCCCATCAACCAAAGACAGACCTGCTTTTCCCCATCTCTGGGGAATCTTAAAAGAAGATAGATTATAACTCAAGAAAATTATACAGCCTTGGTATAATGAAAGAGATAAAACATTATTGGATTAGCCTGTTGAAATAACAGTAGACGGCAAAGCAATAATATTAAGCCAAACAAGGGCCCAGACCCGTCAGCTCAATTGCAGGGACACAAGGATGCAGGAAGGCAGTCAGAATCACCATACTTGCTGCCACAAGCCCCAAGCAGTGAAGAAGCAGCTCTTCTAGAGAATCTAGTTGCTCAGTTCCAGTGAGCTCGTGGGGCCCAAGTAGGTGTCACTGATGTGTTAAAATCAGGTCCCAGTTCTCAGTCCCCTGACACACTGCAAGCAGAGGACATGGCTGAAAACAAACAGGCTGAAAATGAATAGGATGAAACTATTTAGCCTCAACCATTTTTTTCCTCCAGAATTTGATGTCAACAAATTCACACAAAGTTCTGCAATCAGACAGGAAGTACCCAGGAGCAAAGGAAAGATTAAGGGGTGTTTCAATATCAGCAAGGAGAACAATAGATGCAATCCAAAGCATTTCTGAAAGTATAGGTGTTTAGTATCCTAGAGACCAACTGCTCCTTTTACTTGTCTTCACATACCTTCCTTCTCCAAGGAGTATTTATACCAGAGTGGGAGGGGAGCAGGTGTATCGAGGCAGGGGAAGTTTGCACATTGTCCTCCTAGCCACCAACTTGACTTTCCTCTGCTCATCTTTGAAAACCTTCTTATCAGATCAGTTGTGTTGGTTCTGGTCTTCATCTCAGGACCTTTTCAGGGCGCCCACTCCTGTCACTCCCTTGTTAAGCACAATTCAGCTCAGGTCTCCAAACTCCTGCTTTTGATCAACATAACCACACCCTTCTTGTGCTCAGCATAAAAGGAAGCTGAGCTGCCAGGCTCCTCAGGTCAGTACATGGTAGAGATTTGTCAATCACACATAGATTAGTGGACACATATATGCACACACACAGACATAAACACCAACACACATACCATCTTATGTTGCATTTCATCAAAATGTCTTTTTCAGTCAAATGTCCTTTTATAAAGTGGGAGGGAGCATCATTTAAGTAGGCTCAGGCCCTCCCTGGTGGCGCAATGGGTAGGGACGCAACACTGCAAGTAGCTGCAGCTGCTTCTGTGCTCATGTGATCCCTGCCCTGGAGGTGACCCACATGGCACTGCAGACCTCTCCTGACCCGCCTGCTGCTCCCTTCAGCAGTGTACTTCGTCGATCTGCCTGTTCTGCTCCCCACTCTGTCTCTGGTGAATCCTATCACAGCCCCTGCTCCTCTGGCTTATACACCAGTTCTGTATGCATAAATAAATAATAATAAAAATCTTTAAAATAAATTAAAAAAAAGGTAAAAGGCTGAAGCCCAGCCTCTACCACTGCCTCACTGGAACCTTAGAAAAGTCACGTAAGTGTTCCAAGCCTAAGTTTTCCCAGCTGTTTAAGAGGGCTCATATAGCATTCACCTTATAAGGTTGTCATGAGGATGGAATGAATTAGTTCATTGAACCCCAAAGCTGGCACATGGTAACCATTCAGTGAATATTAGCTGCCATCATCATTGAATGAGATAGTGAAATCCTCAAGAAAAAAATAATATCTATTCATTGATTCATTATTGGACACCTACAACATGTACAACACGTAATTCACTGCTAACTAGTGGGACTTCAGGATGAACTACTCTCAACATGGTTCCTGGCTGGTAGTAAGTGGAAGTCAAGTAAATTTGTAGAGATGAGCGAAGTGAGGATTACCAAGATGCTTAAGCCCTTAAGGAAACTACAATTTTTGTTCAACTCACTATCTGGTCAAATCAATGAGCATTTTACAAATGACATCTTTATTTTAAACCCCAGATAGCATGGTCCTCCACTCTTGGCTAGCCCCGGGTGGTGATGGTGTGGGGGTGAACTGGCCTGAGAGCCTAAAGGTTCAGAGTTCTGTGTGCAGCCCACAGTGGTACCAACTGTTAGGAAAGCCCCCTCTTCTCAACAGTTCAGTGTTTCTGAATCAGGACCCAAGCAGGGACTGCCCCCATTTTGAGGAGGTGGATTGTTGCATTGTCTTTGTCTCATCTTATGTCCTCCAGAACACGGAGACCAGTTTGACCAGCAAGTCCACTGCCCATCAATGGGGACGTCTATGAGAAAGAAAGTCAATAAACATTAATTAGCCCTTACTGTATCTGGTGCCCTATGAATGGGATGGGTGTATAAGCCAAAAGTCTTTGGGAGTCTGAATCTCAGATCGTCCCCCTCCAGCAAATTGTCATTTTTCAGGTCACTGTACTTGCCATGTCTCCTCTACCACAGGAGACATGTTGTTCCCCTGGCTCTTCCCTCTATTCATCTGTTCAATCCTTTCACCATTTAAATATCATTTTAAGTATCATTTTTACAGGAAAACATTCCCTGGTCTCTAACTCCTACTGCATGTGCCATATTTTAAATTAGCTGTGATATTGTAGCCACAACTCCAACTTTGAATGTATTAATATGATAGTTGAAATGAAGTCCATCTTCCTATCCAAAAAATCCAGTCTCTCTGATATCAGGGACTGTTTGATTTGCCCACTTCTAAACCCCACACCTAAGCTGGCAGTCAATGTTAAATGAAAACATTATTTTCAGCTTAGAGACTTCTTTTCAATATATAAAACAGGGGCTATGTTATCTACTGTGAGTATTGTGATTTACATGAGGTAATAATAAACACTATGCGTTCCATTTCATAGAATTTGCCTTTCCCTGGAGGAGTTCTGGTTGTTGATGAGAATGGCATATAATCAAATAGGTCTAACCTGCTGTACCATGTGTCCAGCTGAGCTGTTAACTCATGCCATCATTAGGGCCTTCCCCTACTCAAACAACTAAGGGCCTTCCCCTACTCAAAAATGCAGGGGAAACACACACACACACACACACATACACACACAAATATAATGTGCTACAAGCTATAATAGATATATGTCCAAAGTTTGAAATATTAGAATAATTTTTATAGAAGAAGGGGCTCTGCCTGGACTTTGAGGGCTAATAAGGAGCTCATGATATAAAAAATATAAATATACAGAATGATCCAAACAGTTGACTTGCAAATGTCATGCACAGTAGTCCTGAAACACTGTCATGTGTGAAAACAGCAACATATAAAGTCAGGTGGATCTTGGGTTTCACAGTGTACAGCTCTTCTAGCCCCACCATGCTTTTAAAAATTATTCTCTGGACTTCCCCTGGAACTCTCTTTTCCAACCACTTATCAAAGCCTCCTCACCTTTCCGATGTGTGACCTCACAGGCTGAGCCTTGGAATCCAGCAGGACAGATGCACTCACAGCGAGATTCTAAGAAGACAATGCAGAAAGTAAATCATACCTCGTGAAGTGAAGAACTCCCAGAGACCAACTCTCCACATCACTGCAATTCCATTTAAGTGAAAAGAGGGCATTTAGTTGAATGGTTTAAGAAGGTTCGGTCTAGAATGCCCACTCCTTTATTGAGGGTCTTATACACACCCAAGAGGGTGTTTATGGCCTTTATGGTAATGACATGGAGTTGTGGCAAATCACTCATTAGCTGACATTTGACTTAGCCTTATAAGTTTTTAGGGCCAGAAACTGTATAAATGGTCACTGAGACGAGTAACCACTGATGCTCAATTTTACCAACAGTAATTGCTACACACTACTTTTAGGATTTCACCCTACCTTTAGCCAGTGTTGACACTTTAAGAGTCTTTCCCTATGCTAAACTGTAGCATATCATCCTGGCATTCTGTTCATCTGAAGTACAGAATTATCTTTTACCGTCAGGTCCTGTAAGCATCCCCAGCTCTGGCTTTCCATTCTCCATCTCCTCTGTTGTATAGCCCCAGATAGGATCCAAATGACACAAGGGAAGGGAAATTTCAGCAACTGTAGATCAAAATCTTGACCTGGTGAGCAGCTTGCACTCCCTGAGGGGGCTGATCCTCATTTGGGCATCCTGCACCTGATGGAAGAGCTTCCAGCCTCAGCTTTTCATTTAGTCAGCTTTGCTAATTTATACCATCTCCAAGAAGCTAGGCACAGAGTCCTCCATCGAGCTGGGCAGTTGGACCCTTTCTCTCTGAAACAGGTCTTCTCTTGCATCCCTCTGCTGAGATTCCTCCATCAGCGTGGGTTCTGCCCAACTCCAGATGGTTCACTGGGCTGGAATATTCTGTAACCAGTTGCTCCTGAAATCCTGTTTTGGCTGCCAACCAGGACTATTCCTCAGACTTTTGTGGCTTCTCACAATAGAAGCATAAAATCCTAGTCCTTAGCCTCTGACACATTTGTTCCAGGCACCGTTATGATGCTGACGTGACTCCTGAAGATGGCAATCAAGTCCCCATCCTTACCACTACACCCTACTCTTATCACCTGTATCCGTCAGGACATGCACAGATTTCCCCTACTCAGCGCAGGGTTCCTTTTGATCAGGAGAGATTCCAAGTCCATCCCCATTCCTTGCTGCACACCAGTCTCACCTGCCCTGGTCTTCAGTTTAATACTGCTGCTACCTAACCTGTCCTTGGGGCTGGAACCCAAGTGTCCTGACAGGCAGTGTGGAATGTGCTAGTTACCTACAGCCGATTTCTTGGGAGGCAATCCGCGATCACTTACACGAACACTTGGTTTATGTCAATGTGACTCTCAGTTGAGTCTGGATTGGCTGCTACTTTGGCACAGGTTTCCCTATTTTCATTGTATGCAGGCCCCGTGTTCTCTGAGCCCAGGTGTCTGCTAGGATGCATGCAAGACCACAGGTGTTGGTCATAGATACTAATGGCAGGAGGGTATAAAAAGGCTGCCTTTTAACTCATATACCCTACAGGATCTGACATAAATTCTGACCCTACAACCAGCCCCTTCAGGTGTCAACAGACACCATACCTTTCAGGACAGGGACTCCATTCCCTTGGCAGGGAGCACAATGGCAGGAGCTGACTTCCTTCTGGAACTCCTCCAGGGCCTGCTTCATGTTTTGCCTCACGGTGCTCGAGTAGGCAACGTCTGTGGCTGTCACCAGTTCATATAAGGGCTCTGCCTGGGAAGGAAGCAAAGACACTTACTTCAGCAGGAAACAGTCATCAAACAGAAGCGTGAAACAAGGCTCACATGGAATGGGCAGGGGCTGATATACAGAGACCACAAGAGGATCCACCCGCAACTGGATGGGTGCCACATTTCTCTGTCCTGCCCCCCACAATATCCACAAGTAAACTTATTTAAGTCCAGCTCAACAAACACTGGCTGAATACCTGCTAAGTGCCAGGTTATATGTATTTAAGTAATGAGTAAGATAAAACCCCCACCCTCTAGAAACTCAGAATCTAGGGCTAGGCACCAACATACTAATAGATACTCACGATTCAGTGGTTATAGGTTAACAGTGGAAATTCAAAGGGTGGTGACAAGCAGGCAGGCAGCGAATCTCAGGTCGAGGAAAGGAGGTGGCTTTCAAGCAGCTCTTTGCATATAGACCTTGTTGGAGTGTTGCCCTACATCAAATCTATCAAAATCACTCAGGTCATGCAAGGGCCACTACCCTGTCCCACCACAGGATGCTCAACGCTGGCTGTGTGACTCATTCCGCACAGCTTCTCTTTGCTCCTTTATGGCTATTACATCTTTTGCATGTTGAGTTCTCATTTCTTTCCTCCTATAATTAGAGTGTAAGCGCCTGGTGCCCGATTCCACATCTACTGCCCAGTTCTGTGTCCCTGGGGTCCAGCCCAGGCTTGCTGAGAACCCGGATGGAGGGCCTCAGCAGCACCAGAGCATCAGGCATGGGGCAGCGGGTGCCGATAGCAGGAGAAGCAGGAAGAGTGAGGCTTATTGCTCAGTAGGAGTGGGGGCATTGGAGAAGAAGCAGCCACAGATGGAGGTGGCGTTGGTAGGTGAGGAAGCTCCAGAGGCAAAGTCCAGAGAGATAGTTAGGAGTGATCCCCATCTCCTGGCTCTTGTTTCAGCTCCAGGGCCAGGTTCCTCTCCAGAGTTTGTTTTTGATCCTGCCCTAATCCGGCCCTGGCGAGTTTAGGGTCTGTCTAAATGCAGGCAATCATGCCTAATAGAAGCCTCTGGTGGGAAGAAAATTGCTTCCATTTCTTAATGCATCTGATGCTGACCTTCACTCCAGTGGGCAAAGCAAGGCCCCTTGTGGCCCCATTGTCTCACCATTCTGTGGTCAATGAATTGATCCAGAGGCTGTTTGCAGACCTGCTGGCCCTGCGTGGGGGCTGGAGAAAGGGGTATGCTGTACATACACTAAAGGTGTGCTCCCCCAATAACCTGCTTTCCTCACCAGAGCACGTTGAAAGGCTACACTAAACTCTAGGCAGTTTCCTACCAACACTGAGATTTGCTCCAGGGGAGAGAGAGGCAGAACTGGAGTAAGCCTCCCATGTGTGCCAGGAATTGGGCTGGCATTTTACAAATAGGATCCTGTGTCATGCTCACGAGGTACCAATTATGAGCCCTAGTCTCCAGGGAGACCTCATGAAGTAGCATTGGTAGGATTCTAACCCAGAGCCTGTTTTTCCCTAGTCGTTCATGATCAGATCGTTATTACAAAAAGTGGCTGTTCATCCACATGTCCAGCCTCTACCCCAGCACCCTGCTTTGCCTGGGAACTGAGTGGCAACTCAGGGCTCCTTGTCTGCCTTTTTCTCCTAGGTTACTGCAGAACCTTTGCCCATTTGGGGGTTTGCTGCTCTCTTTTCCGATAGTCCTCTCCCCGCTCTCTTTTCCCTTTTCTTTACTCTTCCCATTCTCTCCTTTTCCATTTCCTCTCCCATCTATCCCCACAAATGCATAGTTCTAGTGACTCACATGAATCACTGGGTCCTTCGCACACCTGCCCTTGTGAAAATGACCTCGAGAGCTGCTAAGAAGTGGTGGGTATGATCTACCGAACTCCACACCACTCGCTCTAGCGAGCCCTGGTGCCACCTTTCTTAGTGGCAACAAATAATTCTGGTCATAGCTAGTAGGCGCTGGTAGCTAACATCGTCTTCATTACCATCTTCCGGTCCTCTGTATTCCCATTTACAGAGGAAAAGCTGAGGCAAGGAGAAGTTCAGTCTGTCGCCCAGTCAGAGCTTCAGTATGAGGTGGGAAAGAATTTGAACGGTTCCTATTGTGCTCTTTTTCCTTTCAGTGTATTTTTGAAGAGGTAGCTGGACAGATATTTACACGAAATTGCTGGTATATACAGTTTTACACTGTACTTTTGCCACTTAACATCATACCTTGAGCATTTTCCCATGCGATTCAATATCCTTTGATAAGATGGTTTTTATGACTGCACAGCATCCGGGTGTACAGATGAGGCATAATGTATCAATTTCCCCTGTCACTGAGCCCTTCAGTGGTTTCCTTTTTTCTATTCCCCTTTGTTGCTACAAATAACATGAAACAAGGCATGTCTTTACACATACATCTTTACCAGCTTTTAAAGTCAATTCTTGCATTTGGGGTTATGGGATCAAAAGCTATGAACATTTTTAATGTTTTGGATAGACACAGTTAAATTCTTACCCTAAAAGAGTGGTATACCAATTTATATTGCCACCTCCTTTTGTAAAAATGCCCATCTCATCTCTCAAAGACATTGATATTGTGGGTTTTTAATCATTGTCAATTTGATAGGTAAAAGATAACATTGTGTTGTTGCTTTAATTTTCTTTTTTTATTCCTAGTGAAGTCAAAATTTTGCATATTTATTAGTCATCTGAGTTCTTCTGAGAGTTGTCTATTTCCTTTGAGATGTGTCTTTCTTATAAATTGTTTCATTCCTCACACATTAAGGATTTCATTTGTGACAAAATTATTTTTTTCTGTGTTATCTGCCATTTAATTATATTCATGGTTTCCTTATTTGAAATTCAGAAATGAGGGTTGGTAGAGAGATCCAGCTGTCTGAATCTGACATTATCTTACCAAGCAGTGCTACCACAACATCTGTACGGATTTTAAATCTGTTCTTGGTCAGAGTAATTTGCTTTTAGAGAATCACTGGGTACATTAAGTTGCTTTAGAAAGGTGTTATGGCTGTTATCACCACTTAGCCAATATTTTGTCTTCCTTTCATTCTGGGCACTCTGCAGGGCAGAGTTCTCTGTTCCTTAAAGGTAAGTCTGCAGACTCACTTGCTTTAAGCAGATAGAGTATCCCTCCCAGGTCAAAGCCTTCACAGCAGAGTTAGTTGACCTGTCCCATCCCCACAATGCTGAGGAGCACATGAGATGATAAAGCCTCCACTGTCTGGACTTCTTCTTTTTTTTTTTTAATAAAGATTTATTTATTTATGCACACAGAACTAGGGTACAGGCCAGAGGTGCAAGGGTGGTGAGAGGCTTCACCAGAGACAGGTGAGTTCACCAGAGACAGAGGTGTGGAACAGGCAGAAGGACTGAAATACACTGCTGAGGGGAGCAGCAGGCAAGACAGGAGCGACCTGCTCTATTGTGGGTCCCAGGTGGGCGGTCCAACTGACACTGCAGCCACTGCAGCGGCTGCGGATAGCTTGCAGTGCTGTGTCCTAACCTGTTACACCACCAGGGAGAGCCTGCCTGGACTTCTGGCTGACAGCTGCCAAAGCTCTTAGCAGCATAGTCTGATTGAGAAATAAACTTTTGTTATGTGAAATTACTGCGGGTTGGGGGGGTTGGCTCACTGCAGTGCAAGAGCTCGGTTCGCCTCCCTCTAAGTGAGCACCAACTTGCTATTTCACTATCATGCCATTATTCCACTTTAGGAAGCTGGCAGTGCCAGTTCTCTGCCCGGGGCAATGCCTTTTCAGCCCTTGCTGGTCTGACTGCTACTGTACAGAGATGTACATGGGGGAGAGACTCTGTCTAGAGTTGCAGTTAAATATAGGGTACCTAGGTAAATTTGAAGTTCTGGTAAACAACACATACTTTTTTTTTTAGCATAAATTTTTCCCATGAACTATTTGGGAGATGCAGATACTAGAAACAATTCCTTATTTGTCTGACATTCAAGTGAAACTGGATAGTCTGCATTTTCATCTACTCACTTTGGGAACCTTGGATTCCTTTAATATTGGAAAATGTCTTTGGGACTTTTCAACCACTAATGACCATTTCACTGAGTTTTCACCTTCATGACCTTGTAATTGTTACTCCATTATCTTCAGGCATTTAGTGTTGCAGAGAGTTCAAAGACCAGTTTGACTTCTGATTTTTTTAGAGACAATAGTTCCTGCAAGTAAAATATTTCACTGGGAGATGTTTCATTGCTGTTTAGTTTGCAGACCTTCTGCTTACTTTTCAATGAGCTGTTCATTTTACATTCTCCACTCAGCGGCACTTCCCTGATTATGTGCTTGATTAATGCATCTTCACATTTCATCTTGTCCCTCTCAGGAAGAAGCCTCTAAGTTTTACATTTCCACTTCTTTTCTCTCTGTCCATCATATTTCTTTCACGTCAGTGTTTTAATCTCTTTGTCTTTTGCTTGCACATTAGGAGAACATTTTTATAGCACCTTCCACATCACTGACTCAATTTTCTGCAGTGTCAATTCTGTTCTTTATAGTTTCCAATGTAGGTTTTAATTCTGTTATTGTGCTTTTGGTTTCCTATAGACAGCCACTTCCCTTTTCATTGGGGTGTCTAAACATCTCAGTTTCTATTTTTTGTTTCATAAATTCTTCATCTTCCTGCATTTTATAATCACAAAGTGCTTTCTGAAATTTACATCCCTTTTTCCACTTTAGAGGTCTATTTGTCTTCTGCATTTTTAATAGCATTTCAACCTTTTGAGATCAAAATGCTCCCAACGCCCATTGCTTTCTTTTACCTCTTCTTTGAACCTTTAAAGTTTATTACCAACCGCATTGGTAGGCCCTTCTGCTGTCTCCTTTCCTGCTCACTCAGCTCCTGCAGGAATCATGTCTCAGATCTTGATTTTTCAAGACTCGTTTCTGTACATAAGCCATGGCCAACTCTCTTATGTCTAGGAATTGCTATCTCGTGGACGCTTGTCCTGGAAAGCAATCACCACTCCAGCTACTGGGTAAGTGACTCTGCAGAAAAGAATTATTCTGAGATAACATGAAGCCATCTGTAGCTTTCTCATGCCAGAAAGATTGCATGGAAGCGTGGGACACCCAGAGTGTATGTTTCCAAATCAGATTATGCAAGTGCAGAGGAAGTCTGTAAAGTCTTCAACAATTCCACTCCCCCATCTCCTAAAAACATCCCTTCTCCCGTTCAGCTCACACAGCCCTTCATGACACTATTGCAGTAGTGGGTGTGATTTACACTGTATTCATTTGTGCTGGGCAGCCCTGGCACCTTCGGAAAGTGCTACACCTCTGAGGTTGTTTGCAGGTCTGTTTGAGGTGCTTCAGATGCTAACATGGATGGATGGATGCACTGTCTCCTCTCTGTCTCTCTCTCAGACACTCACACTCTCTCTCTCTCTCTCTCACACACACACAGCACATTCCAAATCTGGTACCTGACATTCCCAATGCCAGACTGGCATATCCAACCTATTTAAGTAAGTAATCAGAGCAATCCATTAATTCTAAGTTTTGGATAAGACATAAATAAAAAAGTAAAGATAAGATATCTATTTCCCCCTCTGCTCTATTCACTCCCATGTCCATCTGTGATACCAACCAATGTCACCATACTATCAGCCAAACCCAGATTTCTCTGGACTTGCCTGCCAACCATGGCTGATTTTATCCTTCTTGATGCTTGCCAGCAATGGCACGTTAAGTGTCTTTCCTGAGTAAGTGGCAGGGGAGAGGATTTGAATGGCAGCCTCTTGTCTGTAGAAACTATGCATTTGACATATAAATAAGTGAATAGCCAAGACTAGGAATTGCAGTATCTCCTATCAGAGAGCCAGCCTCTCAACTCCCCTTCTTGGTGCAGGGTAAACATCCAGGGGGGGGTGGATGCTTGACCATCAATGAGTGTACAGAGGATGGCGAGAGGTCGATGGTGTAAAACGTGACCTGGACACCTTGCAGAAGTTCCCCTGGGTGAGAACCCAAGGCTGGTATGTATGACAGTCCTATACTAGCAAATGTCTTTTTAGTTTAAGGTTGCAAAACTGTCCCTTGTTTGGGTGACAGGTGGTTGCGATCATTATGTTTTATTCACCAAGCTCACAGGAAAGTCTGGAGGGGAGGGAAGAGGTCAAAGACAAAGGTTCAGACCTAATAAGAGACTCGTGAGCAGCCACCGATGAATACAACCTCTGTGACCTTGATTTTTATCAGCCACAAAATGGAGATAAGCATACTTAATTTGCAGACTTGTGAGTATTAGATGAAATAACATTCCGAAAGCCCCTGGCAGAGTTTCATGAATATAGTAAGTGCTCCAAAGATGGTAGTGATTATCATGATGTATTATCCTGTCCTGTAACATAGTTACACGTGCGTGTATCTTACCGTTCAGCACAGACTGTATTTTTCTCCTTGCACTTTCCTCTGTTTGCCTTCATTACCTTAATTCCCACCACATTTGGGAACTAAGCAACTATTGGTTGAGTGAACGAGAATTTAAATGCACAAATAAATGCACAAATAACTGAATCAGTGATTCTCTGATGAAATAAAAATATTAATTTGAGAAGGCTAACATTAGAAACTGGTTATTCATTTCCTTTAGAAGCTTATGAGGTCCAAGGGAGAGGCAGTTGGGTTCTCAGCAGTGTCTTGTATTCTGTACCCCAGACATATTTTCCACTAAAATGTGTGTCTCAAGAATAGGATCTGGGTCTTTCTGAGAGCTGTGTGCATACTCCACTGTTTCTGGAACAGAGAAAAGGGTGGGTAGAGCAGCCGCGTGTACCTTGATTTTGACGATAGCTGGGTTGTACTGCACAGCATCGCCCCACTCCTGCATCAGCTCTGCAGTAGGCAGCTCTTTGTAGGCCAGGGAGGTGATGTGCTCACTTGCCCCGCCCCGAACAAAGACCACCAAGTCTTCTACCATGGTGTTCCTCTTGTTCCTGTCTGGAATATGTATGGAGACCTGGAAGGTTAGGGGAATCTAATTTTGAACCTTGGAATTGTCTGCAACCCAACCATCTGGTTCCCATAATAGTCACTGAACTCACACCAGAGATATGGGTGGACAAGAAGCAACTGCCTGTGAGCAACTGTGGTGCGAGGAACAAAATGACAGCTCACCTAGTTGCAAATGACAAACACTGGAAGCAGAGAAAGGAAGACTTCAGTCTTTATAAATGCTACTTACTGAGTCTATAGGACATAGGTAATTGATTGATAGATGGTACATACATGTTTACATAGGGATTGATGATCGAACATAGGCACATCAGTAGATAAATAGACACAAACACATAAGAGCATAGATTGAAGCTCATACATAGGCAAATAAATTGATGGATATATACATGATACACATGTGCCTGCAAAGGGATAGACTGGGCAGTTGTAGGTCAATAGATTGGAGTGAGACAGCACATACATACTTCCATAGGTCTAGACTTGCAGATCATAAACAGGTAAATACATTGGTATGTAGGTAGACAGACTATTGACCACCTAGGTGTCAATCATTAAACAAAATGTTGTAATGTAATAACTCAGGTAATCTTTACTACAAAATAGGTACTTAATAATCTTTACCTTGAAGGTAAGAAACACTAGGTATTATACACTCTAAGCTATATTATACCTTTGTGTAGAATGACAAAGATAAGGAATTTCATAAATTTGCATGTAATAGATACTAACTAAACAATGACTACTGTGCAGTGGTTATTATCTTGACTTCTCATGGAGCCTCCCAGAAAGCCCTCCATCACATTCAATGTGTCATTTCCATTCTAACTTGTCATTTGTTCAATGCCAAAAGAGCTGCTGTACAATGGTTGCTTAGCTGTGAGTCTACAATGCCAGGCATCCTAAAAAGGGAGTCTGTCTTGGCTGGGCCCTTAATGTAGTTATCCACACTACACTTTGTTGATTCTCAACAAAGAACACCTGAAACTTAGGCTGTATTCCTTCAATAATAATACTTTAAAAATTAAAAAGTAAAAACAAATTTAAAAAGAGGGTTTCATAGAAAACTGATAAGGATGTAAATTGGTTCAGCCATTTTAGAGACTAGTTAGGCATTATCGTGTCTAGCAAAAGTACATTCTCTACAGCCAACAACTCCTCTCTTGGTATATTTCCTGGAGAAACACCTGTACACGTGCACCAGATAACTACTTCAGAGTGTTCCAAGTAGCTTGAAAGAGGAAATAATCCAAATACCCATCAACAGTAGAATGACAATGAAAAATTCTTATAACATTCTTATAACAAAATATTTTGCAGAATGGAAATGAACTAATTACGGATAGTCATAAAAACATGATGTTGAATATTTAAAAAATGACTGAAAATATTATATTCCATCCATATAAAGGTCAAAAAAGCAATATTAAACAATACAAACAGGTGGTACAACTATTAAGAAAGAAAAGGCATGTTTATCCCTGAAAGTCAAGACAACATTATGTCCAAAAGAGAGTAGACAGTTGTGATTGGCAAACATTTCTGGGATAGGGATACTAGGCAGTGTTTATTTAGTGACCCAGATTGGGGGTCACTTTGTAAGTATTCTTTAAAGAGCACCTGTGTTTTATGCCTGCTACCCTATGTATGATTCATCTTCCAATGCGGCTCTACCTGTACAGAACAAATAACTTCAACAAAGTGTCAGTTACATATGGAAGAAATTTTCTAGGCCAGCAGTTCATTTTTGGTTTTGTTTTGGCTGTGAAACTCAGGTATAGGCTTTGTGGGTAGAACAGATGATATAGAACTGCTGGGGAAGCAGAGAGATGGGGTGAAGTCCTACTGGCCAGCCCCCTTTCCTACTCCATTGGCTGTGTTGACTTACAACACCCTGGTACGACAGCCAGGTTTCCTCTTCCCACATAATTGGTGCTACACTCTGGTTTTAATTCCCACCTCCAGCTGGTCTCTCCCCATGAAGCTCTGCTACATGATTGTGACTCTACCAGTTTTTCTAGTCTCTGTATCATCATTATCTCAGGTACAGACAAGACACTTCTCCTGCCTCTGCTGCCCCTACCCTGGCATCCTACCTCTAGCCAGATCAATGGCCAGTCATCAGAGTCTGTTTACATTGTTGCAGTTCATATGATCTCTCCCCTAGGAAGCATGTTCTGATGCTTGGCCTGAGGGAGAGCTTGTCCCTGCCTGTCACTGCTCCTGTAATTATTTGTCTACTTTATAGGGACAGTATGAAGTTGGGAATTCACTCATTCATTTTTTTCATCCCCAGCACATAGTAAAAGCTAGATTAATTTTTATTGAATGAATCATTATTTTAATTAAAATACTTTAGAATATCCAATCTTAAGTTTATAGAAAGACTAGGTCGGGGGTGGGGAGCATCTTCTACAGTGGGCAAGATCATAAGCATTGATGCCAGAGGCCCCCCACTACTCACCTTTTATTTCATTCAGAATACCCTTGCATGTGTCCACTGATATACCAAGTTTGACGTAGATATTTTTAAAGGCAGCACCGATATTAAAATCATGTTTAGCACAGATCTGGACATCATGAAGAGAATAATCTGAAAAAAGCAAGGAAAGAGTGTCTTGACCTAAAATGTAATTTTCCCTGTCTTTTGTGACTCATTCCAGAGGCCTAGCTCTTCCTAGTTGTCATGCAGCACTTAAGACTCATATATAAATTAGTGGGTGATCAGTCAAAGAAATGCAGGCAGCACTCATACCAGGACACCTAAGAGAAGAAGAACACCTTCCCTTTCAGCCTCTTCAAAGATTTTTTGAGGATTTTTGCTGTGCTCCAAAATGAGGGGTGCTCAGAGTCCTGTTCCAGAAGTGTAACACCTTATCAAATTTCTGGGCGTGGTCCAGTAAGTAGAGCTACTGCAATGTGACCACCTTCCCCTGATCATCTTGCTCTAATCATTGATATAAGAGAAACAATTTGTTAATTAATCAATCAAGAGTATACATATAAATTGTCTGGTATAGTAGCTGACTAGGAGAAAGGACTGTTTCCATTTCCCTTGCTTCTTCATTCTGGGGCCACTTCTCTATTTCTCCTTGAGCACCCTCCTTTCCTGAACTCACTAAGTCTGAGGTGTGACTTGTAATCACCTTTCTGTAGCACTCTGAGACCAGCGTAATAAGAGGAGCGCCACCTTGATGACGGATTGTCTAGCAATGTTGCTACAGATCAGTTTCCCCAAACTAATCCTCAAACACAAGTTCCATGACAACATCTCTTGTAATCCTTGCAAAATTGTTACAAGAAAAGTAATTTATGGTCAAGTCAGTATGACAGAGGTTGCATCACAACAGGTGTAGGCATGGTTTGATGGAAGGATGCTTATGAAACTGTAAAAGCAGGGTCCAATTCCTGTTTCCCCAAATATTTGCCTCTAGATCCTTTGCATGGGAAGGAATTTAAGGGACTCTGAAGAGTCCTTTGAAAACAGTGGCACAGAGGGAGGATCTTGCAAGACCAAGATCACATTGACGTAAGTTTCCATTATACACCATGTGTCTGTCCTCTTGCAAGTAGTCTGGACTTGCAAAACCTTGGCTCTCTTACTGTCATCTGAGATACAGAGGGCAGGTGACCTAACCTAACAAGAGCCAAGAAAAGCCCCCTGTGGAGCAGAAATCATACCTTAGACTTGTAGTTGATTATGGTTGGAAAGGCCTGAAGTATTTGTATGAAGATGGGATAGCAGAGGAAGAAAGGGAGTTGAATATTAGTTTGAAGGCTGTAGTAATAATCTGGGGTCCTGCTAATTAAAATGTGATTGATGACCCAGCAGCATTGGCATCAAAATTTGTTAGACATGCAGAATCTGACATATCACCTCAAACAGACTAAGTCAGCATCTATCATTTAAAAGATCTGAAGATTATTTGCATTCACATTAAATTTTGAGAAACACCAGCCTGAGGTGGCAGTAGGTAGTAACAGCAAAGATATAGAGGATATGTACCTTGGGGGTAGGCCTAATAGGATTTGCTAATAGAGGGGAAGTTTGACTCTTGGGTTTCTGGCTTGAACTACTTGTTGGGTAGTAGAACCACTGCAATGTTGCTGATGAGATGATGGAAGGAACATATTGAGGGAGAAAGCAAAAATTCAGTCTTGGGCAATGCTGAGCTTATGAGGGATGAGGGTTGTTACAGATACTCAAATGGAGATATCAAGAAGCCTTTCAGCATAAACTCTTGGGTGCACAGGAGAGAGCTGGGACAGGTCTCTACATTGGGAATCATCTGCAGGCTGAAGGCATTTAAAGTCATGAGATTTGACACACTTGTCTGAAGAAAGCAACTGCACGAAAGAGAACTACCCAGACTGAGGCCTGGGCACAGAAGAAGCAACATAACAATTTTTAAAAAGGAGGAGGAATCTGCAAATAACAGTGAAAGTATCGGCGAGGAGGAAGAACGAAGCCTAGAAGAATAACGTAAAACTTCTCTCCCAACAAACTCCTTCCAGTAACTAATTAAACTCCTCCCACATATACTCAGTTCCCTTAGCAGGGATATCCAGCAGGAGAGCGTCTGGATACCCCTCGGGAATGCCAGGGCCCCATGCGGTATACCTGTTTTTTCCATGGCTTCCTTGTTCATAACGAGTGTGTACTCATAAGTGCCCCCGAGCACAGCCTCCGTGATGTAGTGGGTGCCAAAATCACGGAAGAGATCTCTGTACTCCCCGTAACTGTACTCCAGAGGCAGCTTCTTGATTCTCTGAAGAAACTCGTAATGGAGCATGAGGCCTCTGTTCTTCAGCTTGTAGTGTGCCACTTCAAGGTCAGAGCGTGCGTGCAGAAATTTGTTTTGCTGAATGATATACCAACATGGGAAAAACAAACCTTTAAAGTTAGAATCGGGAATGAGAAGATGAACTTTACAAAGGTCATCTGATGTTGTTGGCCTGGGGTGATCACCCTTCTAATTCCTTTAGGATGCTTGAGAGAAGATGGTCCCCTCCATATGCTTTCCATTCTCATAAATATTCCAATGTCCCTCTCAGTGGGGAAGAGCCTGCTCTTACCTCCTTTCGGTAGCACATAGGGATTGTGAGGAGTAGGGACCAGAAACGGGCAGGCAGCTAGGAACAGGGACGTATGGGTCTGCTCCAATGGGTTGGGGGCTTGTGTACCCACAAAGGCAACTTCTTCATGTTGTGATGTCTGAAGGAGAGCTACTCAAGAGAGAGGTGGTATGACTTTTTAGGAAGGCTAGATGCCCTCTTGCATGGCAGACATCAGCACACGACAGCCTGCACACCAAATCCTCTCACTCAAGCCTGCCATTTTCAGCATGAGAGAATTTTTGCATGTGCTGTTCCTTCCTAGTGGAATATGCTTCCCTCCCTTTGTACATCTTTGGCCTGAGACACACTGAATTATATTATGTTTACATTTTTTTAAAAAAATTGTGAAGATTTTCAACCTGTTTTTTATTGTGGTAACCTTGCATTGTAACATTATATAAATTTCAGGGTTGCCTCATTGACAATGAACATGAGTATATACTACATTAAGTTTGGAACTAAAAGTCCAATTTGATTCCTCACTACCAATTTATATTTAAGTCCCCACTTAGCTGTTGCTGACTTGATACCATCTCTAAATTTCCTAGACGTACACTTCATTCTCCAAGATTGCACTGCATCTTATATTTCCTTTATAGCACATGCCATGCTGTATTATAACTACACAAAAATTAAGAGGAAGTTATTTACATGCACACTTACCACTCCTGCTACTCTGTGAGCTTGAAGGCAAGAATCATGCTCTATCTATGTTTCGGTCTCAAGTCCCTAGTGTAAGAGTCACAGAATGTAATCAGAGTGGTGAGAAGCAAAGATGGGAGGAAGAGACAAGGGAGGAAGTCAGTGAATGGAAAATCCTTTGCATTCTCTCCCAACAAGGAAACTTCCTTTAAGTCACTATATGTCATTTTTGAGCACTCCACCTCCTCGCATGCACCATTCTGACTCTAAAGATACAATCTTAACCCCCAAGGAGCTCACAACCCAGAAGATGAGAAATAAGCAAAGACAATTAAAGCTGATTTAGCGATTACTACCCATTTTCCGCTGGTTGATGTTTCAGCAGCTGAGACCACCTCAAGCCCTCACTATTTCTTGTTTCTCCTAGGAAATGCTGTAGACATTCTGTCTTGATTTCTTCCATGTCCCCCTCAGATTAATTTTCTATCACATTAGACCCATGTTGAAAATTCTCAAGAGACTAGAGAATGAAATGCAGCTCCCTCACTCTGGAAGCCAGGTTTCTCAAATCTGTGCCTGTCATCTGTTCCCTAGTATCATATCCCATCACTTCCCAGTCTAATTACTCTACTTCCTTAAGCCACGACCTTGGATCGTCACCTTGTGGGCATCAGGGAGCAGATGATGTGATTAGATTAGTATCGTACATTTTTCTGGCAGTATGTACATTTGAAGGGATGATTTGGGAGACAGGATACTCTTTGGGAGAACAGCAGAAGAGATGAAAAAGCCTGGGCCATTTCTGATAATCAGAGTTAGATTATTAGATTACGAATTCAGTGAAAAGGAATTTGGTGATTAACAAATGTGGAGATGGAGAAAAGAGAGTCAGATGTGAAGCTGCAATCTTTAGCTGGAAAACTAAAAAGAAAAAAATACCACGTAATAGGAAACTGAGGAGAAAGAATTTTCTTAGGAGAGTTACCAGGAAGGCATCCAGGCAAAGTTTTTAGAAGAATGTGGAGTATAGGCAAGAGGTTAAAGAAAGGTTAGAAGCAGTGGTGTAAGGCTGAAGTTTGTCCTTGGAGAGGGGAACAAGAGCAGAAGAAGGCTCTGGAGTAAGAGGGAAAGCTGGCAAGAAGTTAAACAGAAGATAGGCAGGGATAACAGAATCAGAAAGGATAAAGAGCAGGAAGAAAAGAGAGAAGCGGGCGTGAAGGTGTGTGGTCTACTCCCCAGATGGCCTAAGATGTCAGAGAGGTTTGGGGTGACTGGAATTTCAGCTGAATGTTTGGCCAAAGAAGTCATAGCTGTGGGGGCTAAAAGGTCTCCAGAGAAGATGTAGTCTGGCAAAGCTACAAGAAATGAAGTGTAATGAAAATCTAGGGAGAACAGGTTTAGTCGAAAGTGATAGAAAATAATTATCATTGGTCATGCTGCCTGACCTTTGAAAAAGGTAAGTTAACATAAGACTAAGTTACTTTTTATGAAAAGATTTCAAGACAACAAATTAATTGGTTGATGAAAATGAAAAGAAATGTTAAATACAGACATGTCTGTGGTCAGGACATTTCAAATGAATACATAGAAATAGAAAAGCAACAACACTGTACTTACGATATGAGAATACTTACGGTATGAGAGAATCGTTTGATTCTGCTAACCAAATGTTGGCTGTTAGCATCTTTGTGACTAATGCCCAATTCAAATATTCCTTGTACTTGGAAACCAAAGCTGAAACTAAAACTACTATTTGTTTTCATGGCTACATTATGTTCATAATCTGAGTACGATTCATATTCAGTGAGCGCAAATTTATATTTTCCTTGGGTCTAAAAGAAGAAAAAAAAAACTTTTATTTTAAATTACCTTTGTCTCATATGGATCAGTACCAGTCAACAGACATCGTATATTTTCATTACGTGGCAGGCATTGGCCTAGGTGCTCGGGACACAGAAATCTCACGGCCAATGTGCCCATCCCTCAGGCTCCTGACCCAGTAGGGGAGAGGGCAGCCCCCAGTGGTGATGCTCAGAGGATTTGGATTTCAGAGGCAGAGAGGCCAGAGTACATGTGTGGCTGTGGCCTTGGCTCAGCCGAAGGCAAGGAGGTGGCAGAGGGCGAGACCCACTCCTGCCACTGTGGGCTCTAGTGCAGCTGAGTCAGGAGATGCATGATTAAGGTGCAGGACGAGGTTGTGAGAGTCCAAGCTGATGTGAAAATGTTGAGACTTTCTGATTACTGCTCTAAAATTGGCCAAGATGAGCCACAGTGAAGGTAACTAAGGCTTGGGAAAATGCTACAAGAGAGCAGAGGGTCTGGACTGGCAGGAACAGAATGGGGCAGAGAGACAGGCTGGTGAGGAGGGCAGGGAGGGCAGGGCACAGGCAGGGTGAGGGGGCAAGGCATGGGGCAAGGCAGGGTGAGGGGGCAAGCGATTTTTCAAGAAACCTTTGAAGAGCTGTTTGCTTTAAAATCAGGGTTAGCTGTCCTTTGCACGGGGAATCTGCTCGGTGGCCCTCGCACTGAGGTGGTTTCCACCCCATCTGACAAGCGTCTGGATGAGCCTGCAATTCCCACAAACACCTCAGCTGCCCATGAAGGGAAGCAGAATGTGGCCTGAGGCAGGGCTGCCTGGTCTGGAATGAGTCACTGCTATCTTCCAGTTGGGTGGCTTTGAACATATGATTTAATCTTTATGCCTCAGTTTCTTCATATATAAAATAGAGATAATAACCCTTTCTCCCGCTGGGCTTGTTCTGAGGGTTGAGTTTGCACTAGTAAAATATTGTATCATGCCTGGTACAGTGCTCATAGAGTGAAGGCTATGGACCAGAGAGACTTCAGGGGGCATGTGCCCTCTGGGTTAGGGGTTATGTTTACCAGGTTGATAACATGCTGAGATTCTTCTTAAAAACAGAGGCTACTGGGATGGCACTGGGTGCTTGGGGGTGGGCGTGTTTGACCCTGGGTGCATTTTCCCCTATTTGGTCCGTAAGTATGTTGGGGGTGGAGGACTGAAAGAATAGAAGGGGAACAGGGTGTGGCCTACCTTCAGGACTACACAATTTTAGAAGTGAGAACTATAATCAACGTTATCTAGTCAAGGCCCTCACCTTATAGCCGAGAAAACCGAGGCTCAGAAAAGGAAATTAGACTAAGATAAAGCTGGGACCTGTGGCAGAGCCAGGCCTGGAAGCCAGGCCTTCCCACTGGATCTCAAGTGTGCATGTCACACAATACCACCTCTCCGATAGCCCCTTTTGGAGCTTTGCTTTGTGAAATCTGTGTGTTAGTTGTAACACAGGCTTGTATTGGTATAAAATTTTGTGACTTAAGGTGCCTAGAAGAATACCTCTGGCCCCTGAGGCTGCAGACCAGAGATACAAATGTCACCCACCTCAACCCATGGCCCACAGTGGCCTCCTGGCTGTCACATACCTGTGGGGCATAGCTTTCCACATTATATGGCTTCCTGAACCTCGTGTTCATTATGTAATGGGGGGAGCATCCACCGGCAAAATACCGATGATCAAGGACTGGGCCCTCCAAACTGTTTGTGAACAAATTTATCCTGAAAGGAAGGCAGAGAGAGGGAGGTTAGGTGATCCGGTGTGTGATCCCAACAGCAGACCCACTCTGAAACCCAAGCTCTTTGGCACAGCATTCAAGATCCTCCATATCTAGTCAAAAGCATTCTTTCGACTTCATCTCTGGCTTCCCCGACCAAAGTCAAATACCCAGTCCATGGTCATTTGGAATTGCCTACTCTTCCTCCAATCTGCTCCTATGTTATGTTCCCTGTGTCCAGAATACCATTCTAGCCAGTCACTCTTTTAGCTGCTATTGGTATTTAAGATTGGGCTCTGCAGCTGCCTTGTGGGAAGTCTTCACCAGTACTTGGCACACCAAGTAGAGCTGGAGGCCCTCATAAGACCTCATGCTTGCCCCATTTATGGATTTCTTGTTCTGTGCTATTTCAGTTGCCTTACAAGAATAGGAATAGTGTAGAATATTAGTAAGAACATAGTTCTGAAGCCAGATTCTGGAGTCACACCCCACTTTACTATTTACTGGCTATATGGCATTGGGTAAGCCAGTGAACCTCTCTGTAGATTGACCTCCTCACAAAACCTCCCCCATGGGTTACTGTGAAGGCTTTGTGTTCTTGGCTAGAACATGCTTGGTCCATGACAAATGCTCATTTTTCTTTATGTCTGTTTTCCCCACTAGATAATGTGCTCCTTGACTGTCAAAAGATATTAAGAGAATTACCTTCTACAGAGAGTCTAATCAGAAACATACACAGAGGTGGGTGCCTCAATGCGTCACTATGTCTGGAGTCTGGAGGCCCAGAAAGCAGATGTCATTATGCCTCTTTAGAAAGGATGACAATCAGTTTCTGCTTAGACATTATTTCTGACTAAGATAGGCCTTCATTTGTGACCACTGACTAGTACTGAGAGTTCTTTTTATGTGGCATGAAGTTCTCTTTCCTGACCCAGTTGCACGAATCACATGTGGTTTAACCACACTTCTGTCAGCAAAAGATCACATCATACTACTCACCATCCCAGCAGCTAGGCCACCTGCCCAGGCACACGTCAGGGGCCCATCCAGGCTGGCGTGACTGTACTCCATGATGTTCACACAATGACTAAAATGCATTCTCAGAATGCAGCCCCATTGCAGCATATTTATATCTTTTAAATTTCACAGATGAGGAGAATAAAACAGAGACTGTCTGACCTGCCCAAAGTCTCACCACCAGCAGGTGAGGCCAGGGTGTGAAGTGTGGAGTATTGGTTCAAGAGCAGTCTGCCTTCTCCCTGCATACGCTGCCTCCTACCTCCTAGTTTATTACAGTCACATTATCTAGTCAATCTTCACAGAGCTCGAGGGCCCTTCATCTTTCTACAGATGAAAGAACTCACAGGCCACAAGGATGCATACCTGACCTGGACCCCGTGGTCAGTGAACTGTCCTTCTTCCCCCTCCTACAGGGTCCATCTGACTCTACTGCTGGCTTGGAATGGCCACCTTGCTTCCTTTTTATCTGTGTCACCCCTGGGGATTCCCATAACAGTTTTAGGCCTCAATTCCTGAAGAGATGGGATTATAAAAGCTAGCTTGTAATGTGGTACCCTGGAAAGAGACTCTCCAATGACAGCCTGTAAAGATGAGACCTGATTTTATTTAGGAGGAAGATGAGTTCATTCAGAATCACTGCTCCCTTCCCCATACTCCATCATCCACAGGGTTTTTAACAAATGTTCCCCCTCTTGCTGGAGAAAGCTGAGAAACTGCTAAGTGTGGCATGAATGCAGTCGGAACGCCAGCCTAGTCTGGCTCTTCTAACCTCACAAAGGACTGGACCATTTTGGAGAGGCCCAGGAGCTTGAAATGCAGGTCGACTGCAAATGCTTGGACTCCTGCCTTCCACCTTGGAAGTCCATTCCTTCACTAACTACATGGGTGCTTCTGCCCGGGGCTGCGTCCTAGACTGAAGCCTGGAAATGTAGACACCATGAAGCTACCCTTGCAAACTGTCAACAGGACACACAGGTAAGACCTGGAAGGCACCTTTGGCAGTCACATAGCAGATAGGAAGTAAGTGGTGGTCTCTGCCCCCTGAAAGGGGCCTGTGTGGTTTCCACGAGCAGTTTTCCTTGTGACCTATAACTACCCAGGGGATTCCCCCAAGGAGCTCCCAGAAGTGTCTTCAGGGAGGACACCAGTCTTCTCAGAGGAAGAAGAAGAACTCTGTATCAGCTCCTTGCCTCTTTCCTCTCCAGCATCACCTTAGACTTGGGCTTCTCTCACAGCAGGAAGATAGCCACTTACCCACTGGCCAGACTGCCAATTGCCCAGTATTGGTCCATTTCATGCTGACACTTTTTAAAAACCCTTTTACAGTTCGCCTCATCTGACCCATCTCCACAGTCGTTGTCTCCATTGCAGAGAAGCCTGCGGTTTACACATCTCCCTGTGATGGAGAAAAGGTATTACAGTCGTGTGGCTGCCAAGAGTAACTCTACTGGAGATGAAGACCTACTGCATGCCAGACACTTTGTCAGGCCCTTAGACTCTGTTTTCACTCATCCTGATGTGCCAGAGTGAGTTGATAATACATTACATCGATTAGCACTCCTACTCCTCACTAAAGGTCAACACAGAATTCCTCAAAGCAACTTGGGGGAGATTAAGGGTGGGGAAGGGACAGGACCTGCCAGGCCAGGCAGGAGTCCAAGCATTTGGACAGGAATGAAGTTGGGATTCTCTTCCTGAGGTTGGTGAGAGGAGGGGGCGTTGGTGAGCCCTGAAAGTAGTACTAGCTATGTGATGCTTCCAGGCCACCTAGCACCCTGTCTCAATCTGTAAAACTGGGTGTCATCATAGTTATGCCCTGGGTTTCCAATGAGTAAATGGAACACAAGACTAATGGTGCTGGATAGGGCCACTACTGATATTACTACTGTTTTGTGCCCAGCATGCGTGGCTGGTAAATATTTGCAACCGGACTAGTCTGGTCACAAATTCTTTCCACTAAACCTCAGTGCTTCCAGGACCATAGATATTTTGGACATTTTAAGGTGAAAAGACTATCTGGGCTATATGTTTACATTTATTTGCAGCACTTTTGCTTCCTTTAAACACTCCCCCCTCTTACACCTTCCTTTTCTTATGCGTCTATTCTTGAAAGATAAAGCCCAGAGGATAGGTCAGCCTGTTTCCTTAATGTACGAGGTCATTTTTAACCAACGTTCTTGGGGTGTTAAAGGCAGAAGAATAACAATCTGGTCTTTAAATGTTTCTTACAAGGCATTTAAACTAGAGCCTGCCCAAATGGTCATTATGGCTCTGATCAGAATCATGGAACACTGGCCATAATGAGCCCGTGGACACACTGTAAAAAGTCTCTCAGATTTATTGGATGTGATTTTGCATTTGCAATAAGCCTTAGAAATTGCTCTAAGAATCTAACTCTTTTCTGGAAGATAGAGAAGCATAGTCCACGTGGGTACAGAGAATACAGTTATAAGTCCTATTCAGATAATTTGGGGCACGACACTCTTTCTTTGCTGGAGACTTGCAGAAATAGAGAGAGCTATGTTTGCTTGAATTAGGAAATGAGTGTGTTGAAAGGGCAAGTGTTCACTTAGTTATGCAGCTGATGATTATTCATTGTGTGCACCTTCCTTCTTTTCTCTGTTCTGCAGATAAACACCTTACCTCCTGTTTTGTTTTGTTTTTTTGCCTTCTTTCAACCAAAACTTCTTTATGAGGATATCATCATTCAGAGGGGTTGGTAGGTGATAGGGAAATGAGAAGCAGGAATCCACCCTGGTACATGCGACAAGGTCCAAGTTTGGACCTCGGGGAGGTCCAGCACAATTCAGGCTACAAAGAGCCTTCATGGCCCTTGTGCATCTGATGCTAATAACAAAAACTTGTAAGATGATCGTATCACTTCCTACTTTCTGTTGAGAAAACCAACATGCAAAAAAGTTAAGTGACCTCTTGTTAAGTCACAAAATGAAACTAAGACTTGACTCAGTATTTCCGTGTCTAGAATACATGCTTTGCATAATGTTAATGTCAGTGAATGGAAAGTGAACCCTCCTGTTGTGATTGGAGCTTTTTCATGTATCTGCTTTATGCCCTATGACAATTAATGTTTCCAACTCTCAATTTTTTTATATCAAAAATGGGCACAATAACATTGCTTGATGGGTGTTTGAAATGATATACGTGAAAGAGGCCAGAGATTTGAGGACAAGGAGCCCCCTGGCCTGACACAGGACCTAGACCAGAGCATGAGTGCCTGTCATCAAGCGCTCTCCCTGGCCAGCACCCTCTCACGTTGCCACTCTGTACCTGTCTGTGCGCACACGAAGCCTTCACATCTCACTTGACTTCTGCATGGTTTGCTGGTGACACAGTTTTCAATTTCCTTGTCCGAGAAGCTGCATGGTTCCCCAAAGAATTGAGCGGGCTGGAGCAAGTAGGCATGTCTGTACTGTAGCAGAGAGAAGAGCGACAAGGTCCAAGTTTGGACTCCAGCAGAATATCGATTACCAGATGGCTGCTCTCTGATCCCTCTGTGTCTCTCCACTTCCAGACACAGGGTCTCTGTGTTGGTCCACTGGTTTACCTGGATGCTTCTCCTGCTAGATTATAAGCTCTCTGAGGGCAGGGACTTTGCATCTCAGTAAAGATTTGCTGAATGTGAGAAAAGTGTGCGCTTGGGAGTCAAAAAGGAGGAGTAGTAGCAAGGATTTGATACAGACAGTTCAATGAGAAAAGCCCCAATCTCTCAGCTGGGTTACTTTAATGAGTTGATTTAAGTGTTTTCATTTACTCAATATCTTCTAAATGAAGATGCACTTTGGAAGATGCAGAGTCAACTGACTCTGATACTTTGTAGTTACGTGTCATTGGGAAAGTTATTTAATTTAACCTTTGTGATCTCAATTTACTAATCTGTAAAATAAGGGTAATGAATTACCTAAATGTACAGTTGTAGTGTTTCAATTACACACACACACACACACACACACTCACATACACCTCATGATGTCTGGTACATAGTAGATATTCAATATCTTGTACTTAATTTTTTTTCTGTAATTTTTAGCAGTCAGTATTACTCCACCTCTATCTTCCTGTTTGTTTATTCCACAAAGGTGGAATTGGTTAATTGAGTTGGGACACCCAATTTTGAAAAATGCAGGTGATATTTTGTTTGGCTATTTGCTTTTAATTACAGTCATGCCCTCTTGCCTGCCCACAGGGTTCACACAGCGGTGGTGATGGTAGCTACCAGGCAGGGGCCACACAGTGAGGTAGATGCCATGACAGGGGAAGTACAAAGAGCTCTGTAACTTAGGGCATTGCCCGTGCAAGCCAGAGGGTTGTAGAAAGCTGCAGCAGCAAGAGACATCTACTGCAAGACCTGAAGGATGAGTGGGCACATCAGGCCCATGGAAAACTGGCAGAAAGGAGGAGCAAAGCAAATTGGGTGGAGAAAAGTGCTGTGCCAAACAAAGAGAATAGAGAAAATATGTTTTGTTCCAAAAAACAGAAAAGAAACTCATCATGGCTGCAGAGAAGGTAGAGGGGGAAAGGTACGAGCTGGGGAGAGACCAAGTAAGAAACCTGGCAAGCGGGGTCTTCCAGGCTTCAGTAAGGTCAGGTTTTGTACTTTATTATGGGGCAATCTGGGTGGCTTCCAGGTGCTGGCTATAGCTAATATTTGATGCAACAAAAGAAAAAAAAATGATTTCAATCGCTTTGCAGAATGACACACTAACCAGACATAATTATTATTTGTTTGGCATCTGAAAATCAAAAAGCAAGCTATAGACAAGCTATCATCTTTCCCCTTTGCATTTCCAAAGGGTCTTTCTTCCAGGAAGGCTGAGGCTGGCAGGAGAGGGGTAAGGTCTGCAAAGATGAGTGCTGGAAGACTTGCCCCACATGCCAGAAACAAACGAGGTTTTGGGAATGTGGAAAAGATAGGGAAAAGAAAATCCCCAATTCCAGCTGAATGATTTGATGAGCCCCAGCCTGTGACCTTGCAGATAGTGATGATATCACTGACGGAGAGCAGAGAGTAAGAACTAGGAGTGACGAGTCTGCCTGATGGCTGGTTGGATGACTCATGCTGAGTCTTCCTGGTTTATGGTGCAGATGAAGCAATTATCCAGATAATTGGATCAATGTTGATAACTTCAGCAACTGGGAACTGAATGATCCTTCTTGGCTCTCTACATTGATCCAATTAACTGTGTGATTGTCCTGGGCCGATTTCCACAGCCTCTTTAGGGTCCTCACCCATGGCTGGTTTGATTTCCCAAGGAGGTGGGAAATAGTAACTGTTCTCTTTTCTCTGAAACATCTGCTGGTCTCAGAGCTGGTGTCTGGGTCAGCCCTTCTAGGACAAAGGGAGAATGAAGGACAGATACATCAGAGACTGTGTATTTAAAATGGTAGGACCCTAGCTAAGAAGTAAGCAGCCTGAATTCAAGGCCTGTGTTTGCTACTCAGTGAGCCTGAGAAATCACTTACCTACTTTGAATCTGTGCATATATTTACCTAACAGAAAGTGTCGCAACTATCCTTCCTTCCTTATACAGATTGTTAGAAAATATGAGCTCAAACAACACATTGTTTTTGAAGCTGCATCAGAAATTGGTATATACATTGAAGATGTGGAATTGAATATACCTTCAAGAGTTCACCATTTAGTGGACTCTAGTAATAAAGAGAAAATAAATGATATTTTCCAGGAACAGGCCTAGGGAAAAGACAGGCCAGACCTGCTAATATTTGATAGAGCCTGTTGGTGACACCGTGAATGACAGGTTGAAAGGGCAAGGCTGGCGACAGGAAGGCAAATTAGGAAGCCACTACTTGAGCATGGCCAACATTTGGAAACAAAAGAGAAGATCAAAGAGAGGACTTACTCACTACTTAGAAGCACAGACGACTATGATTCACAGTGAAATCCGCACAAGGCCCTATTACATGGCAGGCTCTGTTGCTACTACCTCAGCTAGCCTCACTGAAAATGAGAACTCCTCGCAGCTCAGAGGACTCCCAGTGTCTGGGTACTTACTCTTTTCTTCTGACAAGGGTCACATGTGGTCCAGGAGGACCAGCTGGACTGTTGGCAATCAATAGGCATCGGCTTGACATCTATGCTCCTTGTGTGTCTACTCTTGACAATGCTCACGTTGACTGCATTTGACTCAAGAAAGTGCAGTCTTTCACCTCTGAAAGGTCATCAGGAGAGAAGAAAGTCAAGAATCAGAAGGGAATGAAGTATACATCCATCAAGAAATATACATTTGCTCATTTGTGCAAGGTTATTAGTTTATCATTCAAGTATATGTTCACTGATCATAACAAATATTTATTGAACCTGCAGTGCTTGACATTGTGGCTAGTTGTGGTTGAAACAGTATTTAATCCAGGTCAAAAGTATCAGCAGCCAAATAGTGTCTATTGTGTGTGTCTCATGTGCTAGCTCTTTCAATCTTTATCCAGTCTGTGCATGTGCACACATATCACATCTCCTTTATCTACTTCTCCATCAGTGGATATTTAAATTATTTTCAACTCTTGACTGAATCATGCTGCAGTGAACATATAGGTGCCAATGTATTTTTGAATGAGTGCTTTTGTATTTTTTCTGATAGTACCCAGATGTGGAAATCCTAAACTGTGTGACTCCTTCCATAGTTTCACATGGTTTTCATTATCCAGGCTATAGCTCTAAAGCAAATGTCTCTCCTGAGTTCCAAACCCATAGAGGAATCAGTATGGGTCACTGACTCTACAAGGCTATTCCTTGCAGAGCTAGAACTCAGCACATCCCAAGCACACCTACCCCAACAAACTCCTTTGCTCCTTTGTTCTCCACCCATCCATGCTCAAACTGGAAACTGACATCAACCTAACTCCTTCCTCTTTCTATCTTATGCTCTATCCATCCTCTGTTTTACTTGAACAATGCCTCCTAACTCTGTCTTCCTCTTCCTCCTGTGACATTGCTATAGTGCAGTCTCACATCAATTAGGAGCTGTGTTGCATAAGTCACACACCTCCTAATCATGTCTCCAGGTCCCCTCCCCTATCCAGCTCCATACTGTTGTGACAGCAATGTCAGAAAGCATGGCTCTGAATCCTGCATACTTAAAAACTTCACCTACTGGATAAAGTCAGGAAGATCTAGGACAGGACATGAGACCCATTGCAAGACAAACTAAAGCTTCCACCAGGAATAACCTATGGGTTGTATTTATTTGCATCCCTCTTAAGCATACTATACTGAATATGAATCTTTCTCAGCACATGTTTCATGCATGAGAAGGCATAAAAGAGGCTCACAGATACGAGTTCATTGTTACAGATCCTATATCCAGCTGTGGTTGTATACCCTGCATATTCTCAGCACTTTAAACTTTATATGTTGCTTTCACATATACTTTGTTATTTAAACCTAGAAATAGCCTGTGTGGTGTGATCCTTCCATTAGGCAGGTGAGAAAAGTGAAGCTCATACAGTTTGAAAACCCAGACAGGATCACCACTTTTACATCCTATGGAATCTATATTCCTTTTCAAGGCAAATAAGAGAAGAGGAGAGGAGAACTAAGCTTTGCTGAGCACCCTGGCTGTGTGACACCTTGGATGAGGTGTTTCACCCATGCTATCTTGACTCCTCTTCACAGCAGTGCGGGGACTCAGCCCTGGAGCACAGGTGAGGGAAATGACCAAGAGTCATGAGCCGCTGTGTGCTGGGGGTGGGCTCTGTGCCGAAGTCTGTTTGACCATACAGCCTGTGATATGCCCATGGCCCCAGCTGTCTAGAAGGAAACAGGGCCCCGTCCCTATGCCAGGCTTTCTGCACGGGTCTAGGTAAGGTCTATTTCATCCCTGTATCCAAGATTGAGTCATTAGGGAGAGCATCACATAGTTCCCACTGTCTCAAAGACATAGTATATCACTCCAGACAAGGTCATTAACAATATATCTGACTTGGCAAAAGTCCTAAAAAGAGGATAATATTAACTACAGTGAAATCCATCTCCATGACTGCCCCAGAGACCAGCAAAAATCAATTGCCTAGTAAAGTTGGATCTTTAACGAAAGGTCAAAGACGCTACTGGAAACCGCAGATGGATACAGGGGAATATGAGGCAGGGTGCCACACACCAGCGGGGGGTGGGGTGCTCAGAGGTGCTCTTATTTGCTAATTTGCCCAGGCTTGACAAAACAATACTGTCTGTAATTTAGTTCTTCGAAACGTGTATTTGACAGCTCTGCAACCCTTTTCCTATTTGACCAAGAAACAGTTACTATCAACCTAATTCTGGGCCACAGTGGAGACTGAGTGGCTCAGTAATATGCACACATTCTATTAAGAGTCACAATTATTTTCTTCTTTGAGATTTGCAAGCCTGTTAATGGGCAAGATGATCGCTTATAGAAGGAACTTGGTAAAAAGTAGTTATAACAAACAGATCTCTTATTTTTGCACCCAATTTTCATTAGGGAGGTGGCGATATAATGAAGTAATCAGCTGAATAAATAGTATGTTTGTAAATTACATCAGCTAATATGTGTGTGGCTTATTAGGACTACAAAATGCAAATCTGAAAGAAAGGCTGGCATTAAATTGCATCGTTCATTCCTGAGAAGAGTGTAAAGCCAGCAGGACATACTCAGGCTCCCCATGTATGGATGTAACTGTGCCTTCAGTACCCCTGAATTACTGTTAAAAACAAAGACAGAAATATGGGGAAAAATGAATATTTTCACCAGGCGACTTGACTTCTATCATTCAAAATCCTCTAGTTTCAAAAATGAAGAAAAGAAATAATAAATATGTATTATTACATTATGACAAATATGATAAAATAAACACCCATGCACCTAAAACAAGGGTTGATTTGTAACTGGGTGGTCCCTAGGAGAAGGGAAGTTCCAGGTTCCCTGCCCCACCCAGAAGGAGGGTGGAACTGAGCAGAGAAAAAGGAGAGAGAAGAGAGAAGGAAGGCAGATGGAGAAGGAGACCTAAGGAAGCCACATGGAGCAGCAAGCATGTGATGAAGAAACCGGGCTTGTTTCCTGACCCTGGACTGGTTAAGGCAGATGTGGGTGAGATACCTGTAGGGAGGTGACTATGGCAGTGTTTATATTGATTTTGATTTTGCTCATTTCCTCTCAGATTTGTCTGGCCATTTCTGACCCTTTTCCATGGGTCCTGGCCAGAAGGTCTTGTGGCAGGCTTTCAGGCCTTGCTTTGGGCCAATCCCTTTTGGGTTGACTTTTGCCCACGAGGGGATGGGTAACTTCAGGTGTTTGATTCAGAAGTTACATTCTTTGTGTTCCATATTGTATATTCACTGTATTAAAGTCACTTTTCATTAAAGCTTTATATGTTTTGTCTTGTTGCGGCGGATGGCAGAACCCACTTAGAGCAGGCAGGTTTTGGGGCCTCAGGGGTGCCTCTCTCTGAATTGAGGTGCCCTATAACAGATTCTCATTAACATGTTGATATTTTTCTTTCAAATCTACTTTTTTTTAATAACCGGAGAACAACTTGGCAAAGCACAGCAAAAAAGCAATCCTTAGGCTCAGTGAAAAACAAACTAGTTATCCAAGACCTGGGAAATGGGTCAGGGGGTGAGTAAAGAAGGAACTGGGCCTGGGGCATGGAGGCCTGGGAGGAGTGAGGCTGTCCCCTCCCCATTGTATACATATGTATATGTTGCTTTTGAAAAAAAAAAATTGAGAAAAAAAATGCCATAAAGTTCACAGTTAATTTTTACATTAATTCCATTTCCCTCTCCTCTTTAGGGGAAACTATTTTTGTGAATTTGGCAAGCACCCTTCTTATAAGTATTTTCATACAGCAACACAATAATACTGCTTTAATGTGCTTTCCCACACTGCACTCACCCAAAGCTGGGGTTGCCATTACCTTTGTCTCTCAGAGGCCTGGTCATAGGAGTTCACAGAGATCTACTTCTTTTATCTAGCTGTTCCTTCCTAAGACATAAATTGCATTTGGATTATCCATTTTCCTTTTTGAAGTTCATTTATAGTTTCTAAATGTCTTGCAATTGCAAATAATGTTGTAATAAATGCCCACCTACAGCTCCTAGGAAGTGTTCTTCTGTAACAGGGTGGTCCCTAGGAAAAGGGGAAGTTCCAGGTTCCCTGCCCCACCCAGAAGGAAGGTGGGGCTGAGCTGAGAAAAAAGAAGAGAAGAAGAGAAAGAAGCTGGATGGAGAACAAGAAGGAGACCTGAGGAAGCCACAGGAGAAGAAACCGGGCTTGTTTCCTGACCCTGGACTGGTTAAGGCAGATGTGGGTGAGATACCTGTAGGGAGGTGACTATGGCAGTGTTTATATTGATTTTGATTTTGCTCTTTTCCTCCCAGATTTGTCTGGCCATTTCTGACCCTTTCCATGGGTCCCAGCCAGAAGGTGCTTTAGTCTTGTGGCCGCCTTTCGGGCTTTGCTTTGGGCCAATCCCTTTTGGGTGGACTTTTGCCCACAAGGGGATGGGTAACTTCAGGTGTTTGATTTAGAAGTTATATTCTTTGTGTTCTGTATTGTATATTTACTGTATATTATTGTATATTAAATAATATTAAATATTGTATTGTATATTTATTGTATATTAAAGTCCCTTTTCATTAAAGTTATATATGTTTTGTCTTGTGGCGGATGGCAGAACCCACTTAGAGCAGGCAGGTTTGGGGCTTCAGGGGTGCCCCTCTCTCCCTGCCTTATAACACTTCTACCTAAGTGCTGGCAAGATGGCGCCTTTGCTCATGTGTGAGGAGAGCTGCAGCCAGCTCGTGGAGGTATTTTCTGGCTGTGTCTCTCCCACTCCATTTCTAACAGGAGACTCTGATCAACATCCAGATAGATTCATCTAGAATGGTAGGATTAGGTCAGCAGTAAATTGTGAGCCATCAGCTTATATAGATGGGGCACGTCAATATATTTTGGCTTCTGTAGAGATGCCCTGACACAACAACTTTCTTGTCACACACAATTTGTTAGGCAGTTACACCCCCTTTGCAAACAGCATCCTTCCTCTTTGCTGGAAGGAACAGCTTGTGGGTGGCAGGTTTTCAATTTCTCCTCTGTCATTTGCTGTTGTGGACATGAAATTTAAGGCAACAAATATGGGGGCCGGGGTAGAGAAAAGACAGCTTAGCAGGAAGACACACAATGCAGATAGAGAGGAGATAAGGCCTTCCCTAGGGGCAGAAAGACAAAGCAATGTGTAAACACTCTGCAAGCAAGGGGGAAAAAAAAACCGGATTTGAATCCACTTTTTGTTACATATTAAGTCAGTAAATTTAGGATGGTTATATTCTTTTTCTGAGTCTTAGTTTCCCTCTGTGACAAACTGTCAACAGTAGCACCTACAACAACTAGCTTCAGAATTAGAACTGATGTGCCTGCTACCTAGTGGAAATAAATAAACCATAGGTCTTAGGAGAGTGCTTGATTATTTTATCTGACTTGATTACAAGAGAACAAATATGAAAAACTTTGTTGGCTCGTATGAAGGAAGCCCCTGTACTTTCAGTTTCAGAACTAAAGACTACTGGTCCCTTTCATGTAAAGAATTCAGGGCCCTCCCTGGTGGCACAGTGGGTTAAAAGCACACTAAGAAGCTAAAGCCACTTCCGCATGAGTTTGATTCCCAGCGAGGGAAGTGATCCACATGGCGTGGCAGACCTCTCTGACCTGCCTGCCATTCCCCTCAGCAGTGTACTTCATCAGTTGGCCTGTTCTGCTCCCCACTCTATCTCTAGTGAATTCTCTCACTGCCCCTACACCTCTGGCCTGCACGCCAGTTCTGTATGCATAAATGAATAAATCTCTAATAAAAAAAAGGAATTCAAACACCATGTGCAGGACTGCCATTGGGGATTGTGGGGCACTGGCACCTAGCCTGGATTCAGGGAATGGCTTGAGACCCACTAGACATAAGTGGATCTCTCCTTCTCTGAGGATCAATTTCCTCTTCTCCATGGTACAAATAAGAGAGAACTCCCATCATGTGACATTGCTGGGAAATTGTTTCCCAGGCTGTACTCAAATCACCCAATCACCCACTTACTCTAGCTCCACTTCCTACCAGAGTAAACTTTCTCATTCATAAAAGATGGTGCTCCTCCGTTTGAAACCCTGCTCCAGCTCCCCACTCCCAGAGGATTAGGTTCAAACCCTTCAGCTGGCACTCTATGCCCCAGTGCCACCCGCTCCTGCTCCAGCTACTGTCTGTCTAGTCTCTTGCTGTCCCAGAGTGTCCTGTGCTCAGGCTTGCTGAAATGGACTTCAAACACCCAGAACAAGCCAGGCTCTCTCGCACCTTCTTGCCAAGTCCTAGTCTAGGCTGCTTCCCTGTCTGCAGCTCCCTTCACCCCTAGGCTATTGGCAAACACCTATTCATTTGGAAAGCTGCAGCTGGGGGGGGGGGGTGTCTTTTAGAAGACTTTCCAGACCCCAAGGTTAAGAGATGCTCACCCCTCTCTGGTTTTCCTTCTCTTTCACAGTGGATTCACATGTTGGCCTTCCCATAGACAGGAGCTCTGTGTCTTATTCAATGCTGTATCCTTAGAGGGAGACTGTGTCTTATTCAATGCTGTATCCTTAGAGGGTCCCTGCAAAGGGACCTCATATAGGGGTCAAAGCTGAGGGTGGGGTTGCTGTGAGTCCTTTAAGTCCTCACTCCAGGCTCGTTTCCTTGGGTTTTGAAAGATTCTCTGCTTATACTCACCACACACAAGAAAGTCCTTAGCAACTTAGTTTTTCTAGGGGTCAAGTGGAGATGCTTGATTATCTTAATGGCCACTATTGTATCCCTGAGTGGGTGGATGATCTTGGCCTGTACTTGTGCAGTGGCGACTGAGACCAGGGTATGTCACCGGGTACTAGGTGCTCTCATATTGAGAGGCTGTGCTGAGCTAGCACTGAATAAAAGGAAAGGCAATAGCTTTCTTCACATAAGCCTGCTCACAAGGAGGCCTAGGGGGTCTGAGTGCTTCAACTCATGCCAGGGCCTTCCCAAGCTCCAGAGAGCCCCCAGATTACCCTGTTACTGGAACCCAAATTTGACCATTCACTCAAATGGTTTAAGGTTTCACACAGATGTTTTTCTGAACTTAACCCAATTATTAATGGATACCAAAACTTGATGAAAAAAAATCATTTAGCATTTAATTGCTGGGAATATCTGGAATGAGTATGCATGTGTGTGTGAGAGAGAGGAGAGAGAGGTTGAGAACCTCAGATCCCAACGATAAGCAGGTAGAATGGGTTACTCTCATATATTAAGATCATGGATATGCATTGGTTCTTTTATCCTCCATATATAACAAATCTTTTGCATAGAAAATCACACCAAAGCTTTGTTCAGAATACAGAACAAGTATCCTATTCTTCTCAGAATGTCAAAATACATTTAAACATGTCAGTTTTGTACAGGAACTTTTGTTGAAGTCAGCCGTTTGGTTTCACAGTAATTTGAAGAAAGCTGTTGATATTATTTTATCAGATTTATGCAAACTGCTTTGAGAGCTGTTCCCTATTCAGTAGACACACAATAAAGAGATGGTCAGCATTATGTGGCTTTCTATAACCTGTCACATTATGGGTCTGGAATGGTCTGTCACCATCACTTACCTGGAGCCGGGTACACTGAGCCAAGCCAGGGCAGCACAGAGAATAAGCTCCACAGGCACCCTCCGAGTCCTGGTCCCAGATAGCTTCATTTTCTCTCTGTGACAAGAGAACTGGCTGAGCCTTCTAGATGCATGAAACACAGTCAGCACTGTAGTCAGCTTCTATCTCCATAGAGCAAACAGATTCTTCCACCAAGTAAACAGAAAGCCACCAATGACTGGGAATCTCTTAGACTTTGCACAGACAGAAAAATTACCTGCAACTCTGATCGTGTCTCTGGAAACCCATACCAAGGATGGAGCACTCTGCAGCAAACTGGTGTTGATACACCTGTAACAAGCAGAGTTTGGGGTAAGTAGCTGAGAGGGTAGGCTGTTCATGAGGCAAAAAGGACTGTGGGTCCCAGATCCTACTGCCTGGTTTGAGTCCTTATTGGCTTTGCCACTCACTGACTTTGAGGTCTTGGCAAGTAACTTTTGCTCTCTGCCCACATTTCCTCACTTGCAATCTGGTAAGGATTAATTACATTAATAAAGTAAAGTGCTTAGAACAGTACATTGGGAGCACTCAGACCTGTGAGCTGCTAGTGCTAAGTGGAGTACTTAGTTTGGAGTCAGATAGGTCAGGTTTCCAACTCTACTTTCAATTGTGACTCTTTCTAGCTATGTGATTTTGAGCAAATTAGAAAGAAGCTACAGAGCTCCAGATCCCATCTATCTGAGTTCCAATTCTGTGCATGGTTCTCTGCGTGTGACACCTAGGCACACCTCTCTGGGCCTATGTTTCCTCCTCTATAAAACAAGGGTCATCATAGTGCTCACCTCACAGGACATTGTGAAGATGAAATAAACCCAGACATTTAAAACTCTAAACAGGGCCTCCCTGGTGATCTAGGGGTTATGTCTGAGTGCTGTTGCTACTGTGGCCTAAGTTTGATCTCCAGCCAGTGAGCTGACCCACATGGCACAGCAGATCGCTTCTGTTTCATCCTCTGCTCTCCTTAGCAGTATGTTTCAGAAATGCCTGATTTGCTCCCCACTGTGTCTCTGGTGAATCCCTCTCACCTCCTCAACTCTGGTCTGTAACCCAGTTCTTCTGTGCAAATTCCTAAAAATTTACAAATAGGAAAATAAAAAAGTCAAACAGCTTGAACAGTGCCAGACACATACTATGGCACTGACTATAACAGAACTAATGTTCTTTTTGGCTGTCTCTGGTTCTGTTTCTGTATTTGTAAAAATCAGAGTAGAGAAAGTCACTTAAGACACTAAACAAGAAAATTTTCACCAATAAGTATTATAAAAAGGCTAACTGTAAGCAAATAATTATCCAAGCAATTATACGATGTCTGTCAACATCACTGTATTTGGGGAAGTAGAGCGTAGTAGACAATTGCTATTGGGCAGCGTTAGCAGTTGTTTCCACTACTTGCTAGAAATCTGCCAGAGCCACAGGAAAGAGAACTTCTGTTCAAGAAACACCTTTGCCCTTCACCTCTCCACTCTAAAGGTCAGAAGAGAACCACTGTCTTTCCTTCAGAAAAGGCAGGTGCCACTCGTGTGGGGTAAGTTGAACATGTCTTATATGAGCCTGAGAGAATTCTTCATCTTCATCTTCTCTTTATTCTGGAAAGTGCACTGATTACTCTGTCATTTGTATGGGGCCTCACTATTAAATGGGATAAAAGGCAAACTATATACTAAGTCTCCAGTGAAATGGCATCACCCAAGCCACTGTGGTACCTCTTTAATTTTCTTATGGACTGTACCCAGCGGTAGGACAGATGTTTTCAGTCCCAGTATGGACACAAGAGTGTCTGCCCTGATTCCCAGACTGGAGAGGCTCCCTACTCTGCCTGTGGTGAGCATGGCAGTCTGGTGTAAAAATGTACAGTGCAAACTCAGAGAATGTGCAATTGGCTAAATCAACAAGTTAAAGTCTCAACTGTACTAACCTGGCATTTATGAAACCAACTTGAGGTCCATTAAGGACTATATATGGATGTGGCAGGTGACTGTCCTGTGGCTGTTGACAATGAAGCTACAGGTGATGGGCTTTGGAGGGGAAAGGTAGCAGGTAAGTTGAAGGTAGGCTAGAAAGAACACAGACTGGATTTAATTTCATTAAACATGCTATTAATTTCTCTAACACTCTATTTTCTCATCAGTACAATGGGAGTAAAATTCATTAATGCCTATTTTTAAAGGCTGCTTTAGTTTTTAATGTGTTCCTGCATAAAATATTAAGCCCTTAATCCATTTCCTGGTTGGAGAATCCCTGAGTCTAGCTTTCTCCCCATCTCGCCATGTCTGCCAGAGCAAATGGGGCTGGAAATGAAAATAAAGAGATGGGAACGTATGGGTGGGCAGTCACAGAGGGCTGTAGACTCTTCACATTAATTGTGCCCAGGACACAGAACGCAAGCTCTGCTGTCAGACCTTCCTGCGCGCATTTATGTTATCAACAGCCCAAGCACAGGCACCATCTCACTATTGTCCCAAGGGATGCAGTGACCTGAACTTTGACACAATTGATTATGGTAGTTAATCATTTGTAAACAAGCAGAAAATTGTGTTTCAAGAAAGATCCATGTCCCCTCTGATATCATTGTGCATTTAAGGGAAGTCACATCCGTACAAGATAGGGCTCCCCTTCTGGTTCCTTAACCTAACTGGACTCCTGGAGGAACCTGAGAGGCAAGACAGGAATGAATCATGTGCTATCTCACCTCTAGAGATGTTGCATGCTGTTCCCTCAGCTCAGAATATATGCCACAAGTTTAAACATGATTCTTTATTTAGTTTCAGACTAATGTCTCAAGAGAACCCTACCAATGGACCCTCCTGGGGTTCATTGGGAGCAGGTTCCAACAGTTCTCCTGAAAGTCCAACCTTGTAGTGCCCCCTGGTGGTTTCAGGTATGCTTTTCTGAGCTCCCAGTAGGAGCCAGGCAACCTCAGGCTGCAGTAAAAATACACATATTTTTTCATAGACAGTTCTGAATAATTTAACATTTTTTTCCCTACACCATATTGTTTGACCTAGATGATAAACCAAGAAACTAAGTATCCACTTCCATGCTCGAGATGGGGTTCCATAGCTGCTAAGTATTAAATCTCTGTTCAAATTTATTTTTTCAACTCCCAAACTCTTCTTTTTTCATCTTGTAATTACACTCCTTTCAGGAAGTTCCAGGACTTACTTAGATCTAACACAATTATTATATCTCATCATTCCTCTGACGTATATGTGTGGTCTAGAGGACAGAGACCAGAAGAGAGTTTTTTAAAATCCATCATATGTCTATAGTCCTTTATATTGTACACAGGAATTTGTAGCTCTACGTCTCCACTAACAGTTTGTAGTTTTCCCAGCTTTTGAGAACCCACCATCAATGCCACATGTCTTTGAATTTTGTTATGGAGGTACACTCCAGCTCAGGGTACCTACTTTTGAATTAGGTTTTACTGAATTACAACTAATCCCCCAAATTAGTAGCTTAAAACAATAGTCATGTGTTAGCTCAAAGTTTTTTGGTCATTAGGTAGTTCTGGGATGAGTTGGGTGCCATGTGGGGTTTGCTACATGGGTTCCCACGTGTGATCTCAGTGAGTGGGTGGGTCAGCATGGGGCTGGTTGACGCCAGATGGCCTTGCTCACCTGCTGATTATTTGGTCTGTATGTAGGTGCTCTGCTAGCGTTAAGTTCCTTGATGATCCACTGGCATTCACAATGCCAAAGCTGCACTCAAGAGATGAGACCTATATGGTACCGATTAATAGGAGGATAAGCAGAGACACTTTGTAAAGGGGTGTGCAGACACAGTTGGGAGGAATTTGTGGACACTTTGCAATTTATCACAGACAAGTGCCACTTTCATGCTGAAGCAGTTAGAAGTAAATGTTTCTTCTTCATTTCTTTCTTCTCCTATCCTAAGAATCTGGAAGCATTTGTAGAAGCATTTGTCCTACCAGAAACTTTCTGGTAGAAAGAGACTTACTGGTTGGAGGCCAGCCCCTGCTAACCCAAAAGGACTTTATATGAGCAAGAGTTAAACTGACTGTGTGATGTCATTGAGATTTTATGGTTTATATGTTACTGCAGCAACAGCTACCTTCTTCTGACCAATATACTCTTATGTTATATACAAAATGTGAACATGTTCATTTTTCTGGGGGGGAAATCCATAGCTTTCCTCAGATTCTCAAAAGAATCTTAAATTCAAAAGAAGTAAAAATAAGACAAAATAAGTCAAAAATTCCCTTACGATATTTTTTCAGCTCACAAAATTATCTGTGGTTCTCTTGGAGGTAGTGTGGGGGTAATCGGAGTATTTGGGGAGTCAGAGAGATCTAGAGCAGCATACAAGAACTGGGACACAGGCCAGAAATATGGGGGGGTTGGGTGAGAAGACTCACCAGAGACAGAGTGGGAGGCAGAACAGGCAGATACTGAAATACACTGCTGAGGGGAACATGGACAAGAAAAGAGAGGCCTGTCTCACCATGTGGGTCACCTACCGGGCTGGTGAATGAACTCATGCTACAGTGGCTGTGGGCTACACTTTAGCCCCTTGTGCCACCAGGGAAGCCTAGATCAGCATTTCACCCCCCTCCTCCCATTTATTAGTTAATAGCTTGGTCAAGTCCCGTTGAGCCCTTAATTTAAAATGCAAGTTTGTTGAAAGAATGTTTCAAAAATCATTTACTGAGAGCCTACCTAGGGACAAGGCATTAGCAAGGTACCTGACTATGAAGAGGAATATGGACTAGACCTTCTCTGGGAGACTGACAAGCTGGGGAACAGAGGGACACAGGGCCACCAGGGCATTGTCATGATGACAGCATGGTACGTGTGTGTGTATGTGTGTGTGCATGTGTGTGGTCATTGGCAAAATTTTCTCAGAAGTGATTTTTGAGCCAGTCCCAAAGGGGTGAAGAGGAATTAGCAAATCAAAGAACCCAAAACGAGGGCAAAGCAAGTCGTGTGACATTGCAAGGAGCAGAGGCCAGCGTCATCAGGATACACAGGCGAGAAATCTCCCGAGGCTGTGGGAAGAGCAGAGTTTGGCTTTGCTAGAGCAATGTTCA